ATTTGTTGGCATTTGATAAATTTCAATCCTATTAAAAAGTTTGATAATGTATGGGATCAAAAAGGACCCCATTTATTGATATTTATTTTGATAAATTACTTTATCAAATTCACTTGAAGCAATATGGATGGAGTCATTTAAGTCTAATCACCTGACCATACTAAACTCGACCCAATCATACTCGATCGAATAAATTCATTCAAATTAAATAAGAAGATCAAATGTAACTCTCAATTGAACTTAATACCACATCAAATCAAATTAAACATAGTTCAAGCGGTTAAGGCACCTATCTCTGATAAAGAGATGATGCGCATGTAAATTAAGTTGAATACCTTGTGTGATTAATGAAATTGGGGAGGAAAGAGAAGAGATGGGCTAGGTAGCTGCTCAAACATGTAACAAAAATGTGGACTTCCTGTCTCCCAAAAAGCTGTCGGTGTGGTACTGGGTCGGCACTGGCACTTCCCTCCATCACTGTTCTTAATTGAACTATTTTATGTAAAATAAAACCCATTTCTCCATTATTATAAATCCCCAAACTTTTTTTTTTTTAATTTCCTTTCTTTAAAATTTCTTTTCGATTGCCTTCATTGTATTTCTATACATGCATGATTCGTGAATTATTGATTGCCTACAAAGTGATTCCGAATTAGATGTCGTGTCAAGAAACTATGAGGGGAAAAGAAATATTATGAAAAGACATATTTTTGCCATACCAACAATTAAATACTATAAAATTAATTTTAAATAGTCTCAACCAACATTCCATTAAATTCTGTTATCTTAAGAATTGAAATAAAATATTATTGAAGTTTAAGTGCGAGAGAATAATATTATTTTGATAATTTGAGGAATCTCATTTCTTTAAAATCAGGAACCTCATTCCTTGCAAGATCCACGAATCATAAAGAGAATAAGGGAAAAAGATTAAAAGAAATAACGATAAAAAGAAAAATACATTTCATTATTTTCAGAAAAGGGTTGAAAACAAAAAAAGATTTTTATAAAGTGAGAGGTGAGGCAAAGATATATTCCTGAAAATCTTAAAAAGTAAAGAGTGCGAGGCCAACCACCGGACATCCAACTCTCAAAAATACTATTACATTCATTTAAGACATGGAAAATAAATATTTTTTCTTTTTTAAATTTTGGTCTTCCATATTTTTTGCCGCTCGAGCTCAGCTCATTCCTCCTAAATTGACTATCCAAGTACCATCAGCTTTCTTTTTCCTATTTAATTCAACCCCCTCTTCAAATTAAATGTTAGAAATTCCAAATCTATCTAAAAAAGAAATTTATTTTCATCATTCATCGACAGATGTTAGAAATTGGGAAAAAAATCAAAGGTATGGGTTATGAAGGGATTTGCCGACAAAAAAGCAAAATATATGAATTTAATTGAATAGCCAATATTTGGGTTATATTTAAATTAATGGCTTTTAATATATTTGGCATTGCAAAAAGATGAAAATGCAGTCAAAGTTTTCAACTTTCAGCATCTAAAGCTGGATTTGGATTTCCCCCCTTTTATCTAATTTTATTTATTTAAATGTATAATTTTTTGGGCATAGGGGTCCACCTGTCTGCCGGCATGTACCGCAGTTGGTTCGGGAGGGATAAAATGTATCCAATCCAAAATTAAAAAAAAAAAAGTTAATTTTATTTTTGGCATCTCAACCGCTGCCCTCTCCTTACAAATTCTAAAAATATAATACTAAATGAACATAATTTTAAAAATTTATTAAAATATTTTAAAAGTACTTCGACGGGATAAATGTGACCAACGTTGTTATTTAACGGAGAATTTAAACCGAAGAAGGCTTTTGATTGATGGGATAAAAGAAACCCTCCACGTCTCCTAATTCAGAATATATGTATGTATATTTCACCTGTGTACGCGAGTTGAGTTACATATGTAAAAAAAAAAAAAAA